TTAGAAAAAACAACTCGTACAGTAGTGCAAACTAATTAACAGTACAGGGATGACCAGAGACTGCGGACACAGTACAGGGATGACCAGAGACTGCGGACACAGTACAGGGATGACCAGAGACTGCGGACACAGTACAGGAGATGACCAGAGACTGCGGACACAGTACAGGAGATGACCAGAGACTGCGGACACAGTACAGGAGATGACCAGAGACTGCGACACAGTACAGGAGATGACCAGAGACTGCGGACACAGTACAGGAGATGACCAGAACTGCGGACAGCACAGGGATGACCAGAGACTGCGGACAGCACAGGGATGACCAGAGACTGCGGACAGCACAGGGATGACCAGAGACTGCGGACAGCACAGGGATGACCAGAGACTGCGGACAGCACAGGGATGACCAGAGACTGCGGACAGCACAGGGATGACCAGAGACTGCGGACAGCACAGGGATGACCAGAGACTGCGGACAGCACAGGGATGACCAGAGACTGCGGACAGCACAGGGATGACCAGAGACTGCGGACAGCACAGGGATGACCAGAGACTGCGGACAGCACAGGGATGACCAGAGACTGCGGACAGCACAGGGATGACCAGAGACTGCGGACAGCACAGAGATGACCAGAGACTGCGGACAGCACAGGGATGACCAGAGACTGCGGACAGCACAGGGATGACCAGAGACTGCGGACAGCACAGGGATGACCAGAGACTGCGGACAGCACAGGGATGACCAGAGACTGCGGACAGCACAGGGATGACCAGAGACTGCGGACAGCACAGGGATGACCAGAGACTGCGGACAGCACAGGGATGACCAGAGACTGCGGACAGCACAGGGATGACCAGAGACTGCGGACAGCACAGGGATGACCAGAGACTGCGGACAGCACAGGGATGACCAGAGACTGCGGACAGCACAGGGATGACCAGAGACTGCGGACAGCACAGGGATGACCAGAGACTGCGGACAGCACAGGGATGACCAGAGACTGCGGACAGCACAGGGATGACCAGAGACTGCGGACAGCACAGGGATGACCAGAGACTGCGGACAGCACAGGGATGACCAGAGACTGCGGACAGCACAGGGATGACCAGAGACTGCGGACAGCACAGGGATGACCAGAGACTGCGGACAGCACAGGGATGACCAGAGACTGCGGACAGCACAGGGATGACCAGAGACTGCGGACAGCACAGGGATGACCAGAGACTGCGGACAGCACAGGGATGACCAGAGACTGCGGACAGCACAGGGATGACCAGAGACTGCGGACAGCACAGGGATGACCAGAGACTGCGGACAGCACAGGGATGACCAGAGACTGCGGACAGCACAGGGATGACCAGAGACTGCGGACAGCACAGAGATGACCAGAGACTGCAGACCTTTGGGGAGGGAGGGGGAGCGGGTACCTGAATTTGACAGGTACCCGCTCTTACTTCCGCAGAGTTTTTTTTTTTTATCTTACCTGTTCCTCGATCCAGCCGCGCGCTGTCTTTCCGGCTTCTGTAGTGTGGGCCCTCGTCGGACAGCCGGATGCCCAGTGCGCATGCGCGAGAAGCGTTGCGCTTTGTGATTGGTCCGGCGGCTTCTGGGATCTGTCATGTGTCCCAGGTACCGCCTTACCATTCACAAACAGCACTGCTTCTTGTGCATACGCACTTGGGACCCGGCTGTCACGCACACTACAGCCGGGAAGACAGCGCGCGCCGCTGGATTCTCCTGGCGTGCCCACAGATAAGGCTCGGCGTGCCGGCTGTGGCACGCGTGCCACGGGTTCGCCATCACTGGTATATAACAACGAGTGTAGCACATAGAATAAGTGGAGATAATTCACCTTTATGTTGGCAAGGATGTGGAGGGAGAGGTAACATGTTTCACACATGGTGGGAGAGTCACAAAATTTAAGAATATTGGGGGGGTATTGAGCGTTTAATTCAAGAAATAGCGGAGATTAATATCTCAAAAGGACCCACAGACCTGTCTTCTATATGGTACCGAGTTTTCAGTAAAAAAAATATAAAAAATCTGGGTTATTGTACTATTTGAGTGCAGCGAAGGGCCTGATACCCAAGTTTTGGAGAGAACAAGAAGTACCAAAAATAAAGAACTGGGTGGATAGAGTAGAGAAGACTTATAGAATAGAGGACCTTTATCATATAGAGGAAGATAAAATGGAGGTTTTCCGTATAAGGTGGAAGAAGTGGGAAAAATGTAAAAAAAAAATCAAGCCTATACCTAGAATATGTGCAATAACTGTAGCATTAAAGTAATATTAAGTTTGGATTAGGAAATATTGAAAATTTGAAGATAAATGCATAATCAGGGCCGAGAGGGGTGGAGGGTCGGGTGGGAGGGGTGAGGGAGAGGGGTAAAAGTTTACTAGATGAGTGGTAAAGTTGATATATGGATATATGAAATTGAAAATATTTTTATGAAGATGTTTGTTTTATTAGCTTTTGTATACATGAAATGGTAACCTGAAAAATAAATAAAATATTAAATTGAAAAAAAAAATAAGAAAGGGATATAAAAAAAATTACAAAATTAATAGAAAATAAAAACTAAAAGATAATAAATGAAAGTAAAAAAAAAAAAAAATTGGTAAAAAAAATTAAAATGAGTAAAAATTAAAATGATGAGATAGGGCGGAGTAAAATGATATTAGAGGATAGTGTTAACATCTAATTCCTCGTTTAGACCCCCTGGGGACAAAGTGTCTATTATAAAAATCCAGTATGTTTCTTGCAGGCAAAGTTTAATGAAACGTCAGACGCAGAGGTTTCTGGATATGGATTCTAAAACCCAAACCTGTAGACCATCTGTCACGGATTCGGGTATGACCAGAGATGTGTGGGCTGACACAGGGAAACGCAGGCTCAAGTATAGTGTAAACAATATAATTTATCAGAGGCTATACAAAAATATAAATGCACAATATAAACAAAACCAAACCTCCAACTGATAACGGAAAGTACAAGCACAGACAAGAGAAGTCAGGGCTAGTGAGATGGAGTGCTCAGGCAGGCCGGGTCAGGAACCATCGGGCAGACAAGGTACAAAGGAGTAGGAAGAGCATAGTCAGACGGGCCGGGTCAGGAACAAACAGGGAGACAAGGTACCAGAGGAGCAGGCAGGAGAGTGGTCAGGAATAGCCGGGGTTGGTGCAGGCAGAGTTCTATCAATGTCAGGAGTCAGGCAAAGGAAAAAGGAAGGCAAGCAGATGACAGGATCAGTTTCAGGCACAGGGGCTCATGGGAACAATACACCAAGGCCCTGATTGCAGGCCTGGTCCTGCTTAAATACACCTCCTGCAATCAGCGTCAGGTGATGGTTTGACTGCAGGAGTGAGATTCTGGCTGCTGAGAGCACCCGCTGGCCAGCACTGGTACTGCAGCCCACAAGGCAGGGGAGTCCCACCACCAGTGGCGAGTCCATTCCTGACAGTATCCCCCCCTCAAAGAGCAGCCTCAGGACACTCCAAACAGTCCGTAATGGCACAAATGTTCCACCGCCTGGGTCCAGTAACTGGCTGGACATCCCACTGCCGGAATCAAGCGACTGGCCGGGTCTCCTGCTGATAGGCCTATCTTTTTGCAGGAGAATGCAGGAAGGCAGGTTGCTGGACACAGGATTTCCAGAAGCAGGCTGGGAATCCGGAGCTGGCACATCAGGCCGGGCAGCGGACAGAGGCACGTCAGGCCGGGGCAGCGTGTAGCTGGCCAGCTAAGACCGGTCCTAGGTTGCTAATATGGTTCACATATATGTGTACACCAAACCTGCCAATAACCTCAGTACAGTGTATATGTGCATATGCTAAAGCCAAAAGCAGAATCATTGCTGTAATTTATGTCTTTGAATGTTATATGACATTTATATATTCATTGTGTTAGCAGAAGCAGAAAAGGAAAAGATGCCTTTAAGAGTCAGTACAAGGTGAGCCAATCACAGCCATCCTCACACTGTACAGAGCCTTAACCAATCCCAGCCAGTTTCACATTTGTGCCTGTGTAAAACTCCCTGCTAGATTGTTCTAGAGTCACTTGCTCATCAGACAGAAGAGGAAACAGACAAAGTTCCAGTCAGAGAAGCTCTATGGAAGCAGAGAAGGCCAAATAGGTATTTAATGCACTTGTGTGTTCCTCTCTTGTTTAACAGTGCAGGTAGATCTGTGTGTAAAATCTGTTGTATGTGTTTACTTGTAGTCACCGATATAATCCACCGAATCAAACCACTGTAATACGAATGAAATAAGCCACTGTAAGATAAACGAAACAAGCCATTGTAAGCAGTGTTATATGAAGAAGATTGAAGTTATCTAAAGTATTCGGTGTGCTCTTTAAACCTACTGCATCCATAGAACGGCACTGAAGGAATTACAGAGTAAAGTCAGTCTAATCAAACAAAACAAACAGTACTTGCATAATTTTTCTAATGCCACAGCGCACAAGGCACTACATAGTGCTGCGCCTGCCACACAGCGGACAGAGGCACGTCAGGTCGGGCAGCGGACAAAGGCACGTCAGGCCGGGCAGCGGGACATCAGGCCGGGCAGCGGGCACCGGGCCATCTGACACAACAGCGGGCACCAAGACACCTGGCACAACAGCGGGCAAGGGGTCACCTGGCTCGACAGCGGGCACCGGGTCACCTGGCTCGACAGCGGGCACCGGGTCACCTGGCTCGACAGCAGGCACCGGGTCACCTGGCACAATATCAGGCACCGAGTCATTTGGCACGACAGCGGGCACAGAGTTATCTGGCAGAACAGCGGGCAGCGGGTCACCGAGTCATCTGGCACGACAGCGGGTCACCGAGTCACCTGGCACGACAGCGGGCACCGAGTCACCTGGCACGACAGCGGGCACCGAGTCACCTGGCACGACAGCGGGCACCGAGTCACCTGGCACGACAGCGGGCACCGAGTCACCTGGCACGACAGCGGGCACCGAGTCACCTGGCACGACAGCGGGCACCGAGTCACCTGGCACGACAGCGGGCACCGAGTCACCTGGCACGACAGCGGGCACAGAGTCATCTGGCAGAATATCAGGCACAGAGTCATCTGGCAAAACAGCGGGCACTGGGTCACCAAGCTCGACAGCAGGCACCGAGTCACCTGGCACGACAGCAGGCACCGGGGCGTCAGGCTGGACCACGGGCGCCAGGCTGGACCACGGGCGCCGGGTCATCAGGCTGGATCATCAGGCTGGGTAGGAACATCAGGCTGGGTAGGAACATCAGGCTGGGTAGGAACATCAGGCTGGGTAGGAACATCAGGCTGGGTAAGAACATCAGGCTCGGTAACAGAAGGCGGTTTCTCAGACGGCAGGCTGACCGATTTAGATACTGGCAAGATGGTACTGGTTGGAAAGAATTTTCGCTTCTTCTTGGGTTTAGTTACTGAAGCACTGTAAGTAAATGCAGGTCTGTAAATGGATGGATCAGCTGAAGACAGAGAAGAGCTGGAGGATGGAACAGAGGAGGGAGCAGTTGCTACAGAGGAGTTCTTTACAGGGTTAAAGGCAGGATAGGTGCAGCGAGTGGGAACAGGGTACTCGCATGTGGTTGATGGCAGGGTATACTGGGCTGGAACTGGAGGTGCTGTCGGGAATGCAGGAATAGAGCTTTGAAAAAATAGATTAGAAGCAGGACTGGGTTTTGGCAAGCTGACTGAGGCTGGGTGTAACAAATCTGACCATGTCTGTAATACCGGTTGAACAAAGCTTAGCTTACACGTAGCCTGTCTGACCAAAGACTGCACTGCGTTTATGCAATCCACAAGCACATGTGATGGACAAGCTGCATAATGCTCAAGGAAGCAATCTGGATCATCCTCCAACAACCATACCAGTGATTCCACTTGATCTGCACTAAATGGTGGAAAAAAAAGTCATCCCTGCTTTCAGGGGTACAGGACAGAGCCAACTCAGCACAAACCTGGAACCTGGCTGCACCTCAGAAAACTCAGTGCCCTGATCTACTAGTGAATGAGCAACTTGTATGCATTCTAGCAGGTGATCCCTGGTATACTCCTTCAGAATCTGATTGCTATATTCTCTGTATTCTAAGACTAACAGCGACAAGTACACAACCTCCTCAGGATGCATCCTTCACAACAAGCCAAAATGGCTTCCCTGTGCAGCCACTTCTGGTCAGGATTGGCCTTGGTGTAATGTCACGGATCCGGGTATGACCAGAGATGTGTGGGCTGACACAGGGAAACGCAGGCTCAAGTATGGTGTAAACAATATAATTTATTAGAGGCTATACAAAAATATAAAACGCACAATTATAAACAAAACCAAACCTCCAACTGATAACGGAAAGTACAAGCATACAGACAAGTGTAGTCAGGAATGGTGAGGTGGAGTGCTCAGGGAGGCCGGGTCAGGAACCATCGGGCAGACAAAGTACAAAGGAGCAGGCAGAGCATAGTCAGATGGGCCAGGTCAGGAACAATCAGGGAGACAATGTACCAGAGGAGCAGGCAGGAGAGTGGTCAGGAATAGCCGGGGTTGGTGCAGGCAGAGTTCTATCAATGTCAGGAGTCAGGCAGAGGGATCAGGAAGGCAGGCAGACGACAGGATCAGTTTCAGGCACAGGGGCTCATGGGAACAATACACCAAGGCCCTGATTGCAGGCCTGGTCCTGCTTAAATACACCTCCTGCAGTCAGCCTCAGGTGATGGCTTGACTGCAGGAGAGAGATTCTGGCTGCTGAGAGCACCCGCTGGTCAGCACTGGTACTGCAGCCCACAAGGCAGGTGAGTCCCACCACCAGTGGCGAGTCCATTCCTGACACCATCAGTGGATTTATGGTGGAATTCTAGAAAATGCTGGGGGACACTTTGTTTGTCTTTGCCGTCTTCAATGAGGCAGCGATGCTTGCCAAATCTGGCGCGAAGGGGTCTGACGGTAAGTCCCACATACAGAAGGCCACAGGGACAGGTTAAACAGTATACAACAAAATCAGATGAATTATAGAATTCTTTAAATAAGTATGTTTTGCCTTTGGCATTAAAGTTTTTTTGACCATGATTGACAAACTTACATGTTTTGCATAAGGCTTTTTTGCATTGGTACATGCCTACCATGGGAACTAAGCTGAGTGTGTTGAGTGTCCTAACAGGGGGATTATACTTGCTGGGAGCAAGCTTATTTTTGAGGTCTGTGGCTCTACTATACATGAATTTGGGTTTTACTTCTAAAGTGTCAATTAAGTGGGGATCTTGTAGTAAGATTGACCAATGTCTGTTAATAATGCTCTCCATTTACGGAAGTGTGTGGCTCCTTCCTGTTAGACGTGGAGGATTTTCCATTTTGATAGAAGGAACAGGATTCATCTACCAATGTGTGGGGACAACCTTTGTCTCTAAATTTAACATTAAGGATTTCAGTTTGGGAATGAGATTCTAAATCTGATGTACAGTTCTGCCTGAGACGGCAGAACGTCCTTTAGAGATATTCTGGATCCACTTTGGATGGTGACAACTATTGAAAGGCAGGTATGAGTTACCTGAGACAGGTTTGAAATGGTTCCTAGTATTTATTGCGTTGTCATGGCATAGTTCTAAATCAAGGAATATTAATGTGTCTTTGTGGTGTACAGAGGTGAAAGTCTGAAAGTTTAGAGTTGCAGTGAGCAACAAATTTATCAATGTCGGTTATAGGACCATCCCAAATGACGATTATGTTGTCTATGTAGCGACCATAGAATACTATGTGTGGGGCAAAAGGATTATCACACCATATGAATTTATCCTCACAAAAACTCAACTCCCAAAACTTAAATTAGCGTATGAGCGGGCAAAATTTGCTCACATCACCATGCCCTGTATTAGTAGATAGAAATCGTTATTAAATGTGAAGTAGTTGTGTTTCAAGCAGAAGGAGGTGGCGTCTATAATAAAGGATGACTGTTTGGAGTTGAAAGATAGGTCCATAGATAGGTAATGTTGGAAGGCTGTTATCCCTGCTTCACGTGGTATTGAGGTGTATAAAGAGTTAAAATCTTATACCTGGGAGCCCAATTACTGTTAGGTCTCTTTAGATGTTAACAATTCTAAAAGATTATTTTTACTTTAATTTTTATTTATACTCTTCTTATTTCTTTATTTTTATTAATTTTTTTATATATATTTTTTTCTACATTACTTTTTATCTCTTTTTTTCATCATTTTTCATTCATTATTTTTTCTCATTCTTATCCTTTTTTACATCATTTTAATTCTTCCCTCATTCCCTGTTATCATGGTAATGATTGTCGTTTTTCCCCCCTACTATCATATTAACCATTATAAAAGGAACGGTCCTTCTGCCATTTCATTCCCCTGCTTGAGAAAGGAGTGCGCTTCCGCCAATAGAGGCGAGCGCATGCTCCGAAGCGCGCCGCATTGCATCCTGGTCACTGGCGCCATCACACCTACGTCGCGGTTCAGCGTGCGTTCCAGCCGCCATCTTGAGGAGTACGTGCATGCCGGCCAACTCCACATCTGTCTCCCTCCTGAAACACGCTCCCTACCATTGAGACCTGGACGATACAGGCACCAGTGACAGCCATTCCACATGGTGTTTCTACACCACAATACCCTACATGCTTTTATTACTCTACTACCATGTGAGTGTTCCTACTTTTTAGTATACATTAAAGTGGTCTGCTGCACTTAGAGGCGCTTCTTCTCTCCTCATCATTCTAACAATAAATGTCGAAATGTCTTCCAACCATCCCATTTTCTGTTGAATAACTGCATACTATCTAGCAATGTATACTGAATACAATTCATACGCATAACCATATCAACTCTACGCAAAACAGAGGACTGACTTACAATGAAGAGCAAAGGCCGACAGAATAGTGACACAGATGAATTGGCCTCATCATGTTGGTTGGGATCCCCAAAATGGGAGATCCCAATAAACACTTTTGCAATGACAAAATTTACTGGAGAATCCACCAAGGCCACCTCAGAAACTTTCCGCTAGATCAAAGAAAGTCCAGGGCAAACCAAAAACATATGCACCACAGTACCAGCAAGACCATAACCCCTAAAACAGAAGTGCGACGTTGCTGGAAACGGTATTATACCCCGTCTAGACTATATAACACAACAGGTTAAAACTTCAAGGGCCGTCTCACGAACTGAAAGAGACCTAGATCCCCTACATATATTATCCACCATGGATTCCCAGTCCTCTTCTGAAAATGTAGTACCACCACAATCAGCCTCCCATTTCTGAAAGGGGGGGTGCAGCAAAGATGGCATTCGAAAAGGAGCGATATAAAACTGAAATAAGACCCCTACACCTGGGAGAGTCACGACTGATATGTTCAAAATAAGTGACCAGGGACGAAGGTGTCAGTCCAAAGTGGGAACTAAAAAAGTTTTATTTATCGATATCAATAAATATTCTCGAAGCGGAATATCGAAAAGCATTCGTAACATATCGAAGGAAATATAAGACCCACCCCTCTGAAAATCCATTAATCTAATAAGTGTGCGATCATACCACCAGCGAAAAGCCTGTGGAGATGAAAATGCTGTGACAAAATTTGGATCGCCGAAAAACGTTGAACCTGGTGAAACGGGAGAGATAAGACCCAATTTAGATTTGTACGGGACCAGAGTGTTAAAGAGTGAAAGGCAATGGTATTCTAGATCGACAACGAGTGAGGGGGAATATTTGTTCATAATAAACCTGGTAAATAAAATGGGCGTATAGATTGAGATTCAAATCTGACCCAGGGAATCCGGGATTTTATAGTCGCCCATTGCACCATTTGAGAAAATTGGGCAGATAGGTAATAAAGCCAAAAATTGGGAAGGCCTAAGCCCCCTATACATTGTGATTTATATAGGCCAGATGAGGTAAAAACGTGGGCGTCTATTGCGCCAGATGAAATTATTAATCACTCGTTGAAAACGATCGAGAAATGTTTTGGAGACAGATATTGGAAGCACTCGAAATAAGTAAAGGAGTTTAGGTAAAACATTAATTTTCACAGCAGTGACTCTACCGAAAAATAAGATAGGATACCTATGCCAAATCTTAAGATACACATGGTGGATAATTGGCAGCAAATAGCCTGAAGTCTTTGGGCATAAGATAGATACCCAGATATAAGATCAGGTCCATGGCCCATCTGAATGGGAAAGAACCATGGAGGGTCTCCCCCAGGGGCTCAGCAACATTAATAGGCATGACCACGGATGTAGTAAAATTTACAGTGAGACCTGACATGGATGCAAAATCATTCAACAAGTACACAAATTAGGCAATGATACTAATGGGTTGGTAAGAAATTGCATGACATCGGCATACATACATAACTTGAATTGTGAGACCAAAAGTGAGTACCC